GCTGAACACGGCCAGCACCAGATGTGTGTCTGCAAAGGGATCCCAACTTTGGGCTGTTCCGGCTGCCTTTAAATTGGTGCAAAGTCAATGATGTGCAAAGGCACCTTTGCTGCGGAGGGGAACGTGAAAAGTTTCCTTTCATCCCCTACACATGTATTTTGGTTCAAACCCTTCATCAGGATTGAAAGAAAGTGGCTGTACAGGAGCTGTTGCCCCAGCCGTGCAGAGGGCTGGCTTGTTACACACCGTGGGAATGAAGAACAAGCCACCAAAGATATCCCTGGGGGAAAGCAGTTGGAGTGACAGGAAAGCACAGGGCAAGATAATGAAATACCTCCATGAAGTGGTTCAGAAACTGCACGTTTTCTTCCTTCTGCTTTGCTTTAGAGATGGAGAATGCATTAGCAGTTTAATTGGAGCGAGGTGCCCTGATTGTGGCTCCAGAGCTCTCAGGGCAGTGCATGCAGGAAGCATCCTTGGTCCTTGGCTCTCCTTCCACTCTGTGGAAGTCAGTGCTCGGGGCCTGGCTGAAGCTGGGTGTGATAGTTCCACGTTCAAAGACCCACGTGCCCCTTATCACTTTGATTCCCAATTACCAAATGTCTAGGGAAGAAAGATAAATTTAGAGACCCTTTTGATGTGTATTAGCTGCTCCCTACTCCTAGCTCCTTTAATGTGGAAATTAATTGCTATGATTTGTAAAGCTTCTTTTTCGCTGCCCGTAAAAATTAAGTCATTTTCTGAGAAAAATGACATTTTTTTAAATATTTATCATTATGATATATTCCACGGTGAAGCAAACGGCTCAGGGTCCACCTTTCCCTTGGTGCAGCTGCTGTTATGTGTTGCCTATGCTGTAGTCTGGGTAATTTTGAAATGAATTGAATAGTGTTTTACCATAGGAATCTGCACTCTAATATGCAGTCCTACAACAGCAGTGCTTGCAAAGAGTTTCTTGAAGTTACTACACCAAAGGTTTGTCTGTTTGGCAGACAGGAAGTGCTCCGTAACTGGAGTAGGATAAGGATGGATAAGGTGTAAGGTATGTCATGATTTGCTCTCATTATGGCATACTAATACTGGTAGTAGCAGCCTGTATTTGCAGTGCAAAGCTGCATCTGAGCTCTGCAAGGAGCCTGTGCAGTGTATATGGCTTGGTGGAGCGTGGATGCAGAGCTGGTGGGGAGGGATCACCACGCTCCTGACTCCTGAGATGCTGGAGCCTCCTTTGGCAATTTAACTGCTGTGCTGGAACTCCCCAGGCACAGAAAGGTTTTGATGATGATCATACATCACGTGTGCAGATTTTGTCATACATGAGTTGAACCATCATCATTATTTGGTAGATTGAGATGAGCTCTTGGGCAGAAGCTCTTCCCTGTGAGGGTGCTGAGGCGCTGGCACAGGGTGCCCAGAGAAGCTGTGGCTGCCCCATCCCTGGCAGTGTTCAAGGCCACGTTGGACACAGGGGCTTGGAGCAACCTGCTCTAGTGGAAGGTGTCCCTGCTCGTGGCAGGGGTTGGAGCTGGAGGAGCTTTAAGGTCTCTTCCAACTCAAACCAGTCTGGGATTCTGTGAATAAACAAGAGGAGTCAGACATGTGCATGGCTGCAGGGCTATGACCTTATTGGCATCATTTAGATATGGTGGGATGGCTTCTGTGCCTGGAGCATTGGAACGGAAGGGTACAGGCTCTTTGGGAAGGACATGCAGGGAAGACAAGGAGGAGGTGTCACCTCCTGTGTCAGTGACTGGCTGGAGGGCATGGGGATGGATGAGGAGCCAACCAAGAGCTCACGCAACAGGATTCTGCTCTGTTCCAGCTTCAGGGAAAGGAGGATAAAAATTTCAGAGCAATAAACTCCTGACTCTGAACTGTATGAATGTGTCCCATTAAAACACAAGATGAGATTAAGACAGGCAGTGCAGTCCTCAGCACACACGTATGTGTGTAAATAGAGGACTGAGTGACGAGAAAGAGGGGAAGACACCCAGAGCCACAGGGAGGGGTTGGGTTTAGTTCACCAATTGTGCCTTGTTATGAAGGTATTTATTGCCCGTTAAAAAGAAATCCTTTCCCCTCACAGATAATGGCAAAGAATCAAGTCGATCCTCCTGCCCACCGACCTTGATCTTACACACGGAGAGGAAGAGCACCCCTGTGCACAGCGCTGGCGAGAAGGTCTGCGGGGTTCTTCTCTTGAAAACCTCTTTAAACCTGTTTAAACTACTGAACCACACAATCTGAGTCAGGATAAACCACTGCCTCTGGCTTGAGCTGTGCTGCTGCTGAAATCAGCTCCTAGGGTTGATTCTAAAGAGCTATCTATCTAGATTATCTCGGTTTATAGGAGCTCTGTCACCGTAGTGCCGGGGTATCGGAGGAGGGATGCTCACAGCTGGGTTTTCTCCCCATACTGGAGGAGAAGTGAGTCTACGGGTGGGGGTGTGTGTGCATATGTGGAGCTGTGACACAGCCCACGGAACAATTCATGTGCTGAGAAGCTGAAGCACAAAACCAGTGTGTGATTTGCTGTCTCACTGCAGTGGCAGGGACCTGTGGAGGTGGCTCAGCCCCTGCTCAGGGCAGGATCATCCCCTCGGTGGGTGTTGTGCTGCTTATTGCAGTATCAGCCCCAGGGGCAAGAAAGAATTTATTCCTGGCCCCTTTTGGTGTTACTGATTTAAATTGCTGTGCATTTCCATAGCTCTCCTTTGCAGATAATTGCACAGTCCTCAAATAAAACCTCTTTATTAAAGTGGGCCTACAAGAAACTTGGAGAGGGGCTTTGGACAAGGGATGTAGGGACAGGCCAAGGGGAATGGCTTGAACCTGCCAGAGGGGAGACTGAGATGAGCTCTGAGGCAGAAGCTCTTCCCTGTGAGGGTGCTGAGGCGCTGGCACAGGGTGCCCAGAGAAGCTGTGGCTGCCCCATGGCCAGGTTGGACACAGGGGCTTGGAGCAACCGGCTCTAGTGGAAGGTGTCCCTGCCCGTGACTGGATGAGCTTTAAGGTCCTTTCCAACACAAACCCATCTGTGGTCCTGTTCTGTGGTTCTTGTGTTTTGATACTGCACTGAGCTACATCACTGCCTTCCTCCCAGGCCTTCCCTTGCAGTTCATTTCCATAAGCTACTACAATAAATAGCTGTTCTTCGGCTGATAAAATATTGCCTGGACTTGCTGACTGCACCGTGCAACTTCCTGCGTTGCCTGTTACTCCATCCAAACAGCCTGGCCCTGTCATGGGGGGATCCCTGCATCTCGGGTTGCAATATGCAGTTATATCCGCTCTCCCCAGTGAGCTCATGGATAAAAGCACGTGTGCTGGTGTTTCATTCCTATTGCTGTAAGTCAGGTGATGTTTTTATGATTCCCTGTTTATCTGGGCTGTTCTCGAGGTAGCTGGTTGTTCATAAAGCCCCTTGTGGAATAATGGCAATGAGGGTGATCCACTTCAAGTTAAAGGGAGTGATTTGTGTAGCAGTAACAGCCTTCTGCAGCGGCTTTATTTGCTGACTAATCTCTATCTGTCTTTCAAGGAGCACTCTTTTAAACTAGTAAATGAGGATGACAGCACATCCAACGGCAACAAGCCCGTGGCATCCACTCCAGTGCCGGGATCACCATGGTAAGCAATTGCTAAAAGCCATTCAGCAGTGCTGTTTCCCTTGCCAGAAATGCATTAGTGTTCTGTTACATGAGGAAGGCTGCCCTGGGTGTCAAGTAGAAAAGCTGGGTTCCTGTCTGAGCTTCCACTGGAGCTTTCCCTCATTAATCATGTGTCTCATGATCCAAGTTTCCTGACCATGTTCCTATTCAGGTAACTACAGTCTGGGTAACCGAAGCTCATAAGAATTAGTTATACTTAGTGGCTGGTATAGAATCCCAGGCTGGTTTGGATTGGAAGGGAGCTTAAAGCTCCTCCAGCTCCAACCCCTGCCACGGGCAGGGACGCCTTCCACTAGAGCAGGTTGCTCCAAGCCCCTGTGTCCAACCTGGCCTTGAACACTGCCAGGGATGGGGCAGCCACAGCTTCTCTGGGCACCCTGTGTCAGCGCCTCAGCACCCTCACAGGGAAGAGCTTCTGCCTCAGAGCTCATCTCAATCTCCCCTCTGGCAGGTTCAAGCCATTCCCCTTGTCCTACCTGTGGGATCTTTGGGTAAGGCACTCCACATGGGTATCAGCTATTATTTGTTATTATTATATTGTGCCATTTTATAAACCAGTGTTATAAGCACAGTCCAACATCCTACTTAGTCTCAACATCATAATATGTAACATACATCAGTCGTTTCTCTCCTTGACGGTTGCTACTATGTAGGGTAGTGCAGAGGAGCCATTTGAGTCCAACAGTGTCATAAGCAGGTTATGGTTCCTCCTTCTTACAGGGAAGAGCAGTAGCTGGTGGTACCCACAGTGGGATCTCACAGCACCCCCTTCTCCAGCCACATCTGCTGGGCAGGCAGTGGTCATCCAGGACTTCTGCCCAAGTGCACCCGTCTCAGATCGAAACTTGTGATATTTTAGTCTCTTAAGGAGAATCCAACATTTCTGGGTTTCCAGAGGACTGTTTAGTGTGTAGAGACCATTGGTCAATGTGACATCTCCTGTGAGAAGAAGCTAGACCATCATTTTTGATGGCAGAAAGTTTTCAGGCGTGTTAGCAAACCCTGCCCACCTTATGGAACAAAAAACCCCACCATAATTATCTTGTGCCCTTACTCATTCTTAAAATACAGTTTACTAAAGGGGAACATGAACATAACAATGTCTGCACTTCCAGCTTGTGCTCTGTGACTGAAACAAAATACCACAGTCCCCTGTGGATAACTGAAACGTTATTATACCAAAGGGGAAGAAGTGATGTGTTACAGGGGGAAAGGGACTTTAATCTTAAATTAAATGTCAAATTATATTAGTTGTGGAAAGTGAAGAGGTGTCAACAAAGGACCCCAGAGTTTCTAACCTGAGGTGAGGGCACATGAGACATGGAGATACTTGGAGGTCAGGGAGCACCATCACTATCTGCGTGCAAGGCCAGAGGAGCACTGAGCACAAGCGTTCCCCCAGAGACAGAACGTGTGTTTCCATGACCCATCCCTGGCAGTGTTCAAGGGCAGGTTGGACACAGGGGCTTGGAGCAACCTGCTCTAGTGGAAGGTGTCCCTGCCCGTGGCAGGGGTTGGAGCTGGAGGAGCTTTAAGGGCCCTTCCAGCACAAAACATTCTGGGATTCTATGATAATCATCCCCTAACAGAGGATTAGAGAATCTGTCTTGTGGAGCTGTTTGTGATCCAAAACATTTATGCATCAAAATAAAGTTATTAAAATATTTGTCACATCTGTATCGCTGCATCCAGGGTGCCAGAACCTCCATGGGGTGTGCCTCAAGCCCACAGCTGGGTTTGTACAACCAGTTTTGTGCTCCTGTTTATTGGGAGATCATTTAACTCCACTGAACATAATGACAGGGAATTTCAGGCTCGGAAACACACTTATACCAAATTGCTCCCAGCACCCTGCAGCTTCCTCCATGGCTTCTTCCAGGGGTTGTGCATCTTTCATTGCATGTTTGGGCAAGATCAGTGGTGATGTCTTACCATGGAACACAGGGTGTCTTGGGTTGTCTTATTATAGCACTCCACAGTGATGGAGCATTTTCATGTTTGCAATCTTATACCCAGACCAGACTTCTTTTACCAGTTTTGTTCCTGCTTTTAATAACAATAAACCATCAGAGCTTCTAATGATAAGATTTGTTCCTTCCAGGTTATGCTTCAGAGAGACCAATATTTTCCTATTATAAGTGTTCGTGTACATGAGGAAGTCAAAGTGTGTGGATGGTGTTTGTTATTTTTCATTATGATTCAGAGCGTGTGGGTTTGAGGTTGATATTCTGGTTGTTTATTTACATATAGATTTAGTATATTTAGTATATAGATGTAGTGAAGTACAACTTGGGGGGTTTGAATGTCTATTAAGGATGGTGTGATGCTTATTTTCATGTTACTTTACCTGATTTAAAATTGATGCCAGGACAAGAAGTTGAAGTGCTGCTGTGCATATTTAAAGTGTCCGAGCCACGGAGCTGCAGTTTGTTCAGCAGCACTTGGCCGTGGTTTTCATACTGGAAAGAGCCCATAAAAACCAACCTAAACCTTTGTGGCAGATTTCTGCGGTGCCTGGTGGTACCTGCCCAGCGAGAGCATGGTGGGAGCCAGCAGGGATGCCATTGGGATGCTATGGGGATGCCACAGGGGTGCCGTGGTTGCACCTTCTCCCTGCTAGTAGCAGGCAGAGCACCAGCCCATGGTCATCAAGACCATCGAGGTGATGGGCACCCAGCCCCAGTGCTGAGGCTACTGCACTTGCTGCTCTCAGCTGTGTCTTTAGAACATGAAATGTGTTTTCCTTTGGCTTCTCTTGATGTGAGCACCACAGTGCTCCTCTTCATCTGGTTCTTTTTCCATTCTGTGATAGAATATTCCCCCTACTGCTTTTTTTGGGGGTGTTTAGACCATTTCTATGGCATTTTATCCTACCTGAGGTGACTGGCGTGGGCTGGAACGGAGCAGGCTGTCAATCCAAGAGGAGCATCAACCCACATTCTGCAAACAGGGGTGCAATAAGCCAGCTGTGGGTTAACTGCTTGTTTGTGGGTGTACCTGACGTTATCTAAGCATAGTCTATCACTTGGAATAGGTGTGTAGTCTGGACTGGAGATGACCGGGTCTTCTTCTTCAACCCTACAATGCAGCTGTCAGTCTGGGAGAAGCCGGTGGACCTGAAGCACCGCGGCGACATAAACCGGATCATCGAGGATCCTCCTCACAAGCGCAAGCTGGAAGCTGCAGCAAGTAACTAAAGCCCTGTGATTATTTGCCTCTATTTAAACTCAAATATGGAGTGAAGCGTGGTCACTAAATGCATTCAGAGGAAGTTTGATAACTGTAATTAGAGTGGGTTTCCTTTGGGGATTTCATATAAAGTATTGCGTTAAAATTGATGTTTATTGCAAAATCCTTATTTCCACTGAAATGCTGAGCTGGGGGATAGAGTGTTCTCATTATTGGCAATGAAGAACCAGGTGCCTTCTTATACTGGATCAATCTTTGATGTAGACAGTACATCTCAGAAGACACTGTCTTTATGTTTTATTACACTTATTTCCAAGATGTACATTAGGAATGCATTACCAATGCATTATTCAGCTGTTACACAGAGGGAGATGCTCCATAGCTAATTACTATCCAACCAAGTTGGGGGGGGGGGAGGAAAATCCCTGTAGTAAATCTCTGATGAGTGCTGAATGGTTTGGTGGAAAAGTGGATGCTTCCATCTAAACGTGACGCTGCAGACACCTTCTAAAGGCTGAATTCCTGTTCTTTAGTCATGCTAAAGAACAACCTGCTGATCTGCAGGACTGTGTGCTCAGTGGTTGAAAATACAGTTTAAATACACCCTTTGGCTGGTCAGTGATCAGGGTATTTGCTATCCAGTCATTCCTAACACAGCCAGTTCATGGAGGCAGTTTTCCCAGCCTGCCTCTCTCATCCAATGTTCCATCTTTTTCCCTGCTCTCCTTACTGGAGTTGTTCAGGCCAGACTTTGTCCGTGCTGGTCAGCAGCCCAGGAGCAGCCCAGCATGGCAGCCTGTGCAGTACTGGCTCCATAATTTGTTCCACCACGCTGCTCTCCAAAGATTATGTTTCACCAGGTTTTGTGGACTCCATGGGACTGGGAGCTGCTCCATGCCACAGATTCCAGACTGGTTTGTATTGGAAGGGATCTTAAATCTCCTCCAGCTCCAACCCCTGCCACGGGCAGGGACACCTTCCACTGGAGCAGGTTGCTCCAAGCCCCTGTGTCCAACCTGGCCTTGAACACTGCCAGGGATGGGGTGTCAGTGATCGTTTTGTTTCCTGATGCCTTATGTTGGCTTTCATGTGGGAGCAGTGCCAGTAAGACCTAGACCACATGCTTTGATCCACAGGCACAGCTCCCAGTTAATGGCTGTGAGCATGTCTATGTGGACTTGAAACACTGCCTGCAGGTAGATAAAAGTGAATGATAATCAGGATTTATCTTATCAGTGTTAGCAGAAGTGTGCTGATAAAAAAGCTACAAAGAGTGGTTTTCTGTTAGCTCTTATCCCCACATAATGACATAACGTTTTTCAGTATATGTTTCAATCATCAGGTGCTCTTTTATGTATCATTTGTGTCTGTGGCTTGAAGAACTTCAGCTGTATGTCTCATACTTCCAAAGCCTGAAGTTCATTCTTCAGGAGAAAAATATGGCACATGTTTGTTAGTCCAGGATATATTGAAAGACCAATTCATTGCTGACCAGGAGGAATGATGGCCAAGGACAAAACTGAGGGTCATTGTTCATGGTCTGTAATTAAAGAGAAGAGTCTAAAGTCATGGTTGATATGTGCTGCTTCGAAATGTATTTTTTGCTCTGTGTTCCATCCTTTCTATTTATTACTTATATGTACCACCCAGATTTGATTCATGCACCAGTTGCTTTGTGACCATGGTTTTCATCATTGCTAATAGTCTTAATCTGCCTTGAGATAGCTGGGAATTGTGGTTGCTTGGTATTTGAGAGAGTCAGGTTATAATTAGTATATACGAGCTGCTGAGGTGAAAGGAATTATTTGTTACCATTTCTCTTAGCTCGGAATCTGGAGTAAATAAATAACGCATGAGCTGTGTGCTTCCAACAATGGTTGCCAAATTTATTTAGTTGAGTTGGTGCTGCTGAGTTTTAATTGGAATTCTTATATCACAGGCACGAAAAGAAGTTGGCAGAGTAGTTTTTCATGGGGTGCCGGGGGTTGTCTGTGCCTCCCTCTGCTGAAAGATCAAGTACAGTTATAATTTAGGCATAAATGCAAAATTACTCATTTATCAATTACTCCACTTCCACTTAGCATTAGTTCTTAGGGAGATGTATGAGGTGTTGAGGTTTATGTTGTATGCTCATTACTGATGTGTTCCCATCAGGCCATCCCTCGGCTGGCACCCCCACCCCCTCCATGGGGACATCACCAGGGTGACAGACTGACCATAATATCCCTATTTTCCCTTAAAGATTCCTTGAAATATCTGTCTTATTACAATGGAAAACCCCCCATTTTTATCTATTCCTATTCCTTCTTCTGCTCAAATGGTTTCTCTGGGTGTTCAGGCTGAGGAGGTTCTTTATTCAGCTAATTAAAAGAAACCTGACATTCTGGCCTCAGATAACGGCGCTGTGGTTCAGAGTTGGTGCGATCCCTGTTCAAAACCAGTTACGATTTAGTTTAGTCTGTTCCCACAAATATTTAGGACCCTCTAGCATTCGGACACAAGTATGAAGCACGGTTCCTACAAATAGTGTAGGAAAGCTCCCAGGCTTACATGCGATACATACTCTACAGCATTGCTGATCAGATCTTTGCATGTGGCCAATGACTTGATAATGCTTTAACTCACCTGGGCAAAGCTGGTGTTCCCTCTTTGTTCTGGAAATGGAACCGGAATCCATGACTTGGCTGGGATTAGCTGTATGATTTCATTAATAAGCTCTAAACTTGGTAGACTGTCAGATTGGGGCAGTGATTTCATGGAAGGATTACTGTCAGGTAATACTCTTCCTCAAAGCTTTAAATCAATTATTAGATTTTGTGCTTGGCTGCCTCTCTTCCCTTTCAAAGTCAGTTTATAATCTTAGCAGAGGTCCAGCGGTGCAACGTGAATCAGTAGGTTCCTGAGTGAGACTATAGATACCATTTGTCATGTTTTACTGAGCTTTCCATTGCACTGAAATTTGAAGTGATGATGCTGATTCTAATCTTGTTCCATTTATCCAAGGCAGTATAACCACAGCAGTCAGTCATGCAGGGAAAGTGAGAAGGATTTGGGAGGCTGTCATTGCTCGCTGGGAGAACTTGACGTGTGTCAGGAACCAGCAGATGGAAGTAAACTCTGCAACCACAGAATCCCACACTGGTTTGGGTTGGAAAGGACCTTAAAGCTCCTCCAGCTCCAACCCCTGCCCCGGGCAGGGACACCTTCCACTAGAGCAGGTTGCTCCAAGCCCCTGTGTCCAACCTGGCCTTGAACACTGCCAGGGATGGGGCAGCCACAGCTTCTCCGGGCACCCTGTGCCAGCGCCTCAGCACCCTCACAGGGAAGAGCTTCTGCCTCAGAGCTCATCTCAGTCTCCCCTCTGGCAGGTTCAAGCCATTCGCTTTGTGCTGTCCTTACAGGCCCTTGTCCAAAGCCCCTCTCCAGCTTTCTTGTACTCTCTTTGTATGTCAGAGCTCTTTTATCTGAAGGCTATACGGTGGCTAAGATTTGTTTGTATAAATGCAGAGTTGACCTATTTTTTCCCAGCCAAATTTAGAAATTCTATACCCTTTTCAGAAACCTGTGAAAGATTTTGTCTTAATATGGCTTCAAATTTGTGTTTTTCAAGTAGCTCTAGAACTTCATGGAATTGTCATCACCAGTGAGTTTGCTCTTGTCCTGTTGAAATGCTGAATGGGAAAGAGCCACTGACCTGGCCAGGCTTCTCACCACTACCATGCTTTAGTAAAGGAACATCCCGTCAGGTTCCATAATGTCCAAGCGTACATCCTCTATCCAGCTCCGGATAAGCTAGCTGTGATGTGACAAATGGCTTCTCCTTTTCTTTATCAGTGGTGTAATTTGGTAGGAGCAGGACTGTGCTTGCCCAGTCACCTTCATCTCTCTTGGAAAACACCATCAAGTACTATGTCATATCTTTACCTTCAGATATGTTATATTTTTACCTTCAAAATATGACTCGTCATATTTTTACCTTCAGAATTCCTTCAGGTTCAGACCACTGCTGCCTCCCCATGTTGTTCACCTCCTGATAAACAGCTTTATAACCTCTCTGTTAAATTTCACTCCGTTGCAGGCTGGTTTTTCTTTCTTTGTGTTTGTAATCAGTATCCCAAAGAGCAATTTCCAAGAAGAGGTAATAGCTCCAGTGACCTTGTGTTTATTTAAAACATTATCAAAGTCATTTATGTATCCATAATGCTCATATATTGTCAGCAATGTTGAGATCAAACTCTCCTTATTTCGGAATGCCATTCATCTCTCTGTATTAACATTTTATGTCCTAGCTTGTACATTGTCCCTTTGTATTTCCTCCTTATGTGCTCTCTGTTCCTGGTCTTCCCTCACTGCAACACTGCAGCTGCCATTTGGGTTTTGTTGTTCCTTGTGCCGTGATTTAGTGTATGCTTTGTTCAAGCACTTATTATAAAAAAGTAGCATTTGCTGGAAGCGCACTAATAAACATGTCATTTACCTAAAATAGGGAAACAAAATGAGCTAAGAAGAAGATTCTTAAATTGAAACTTGAAATAAATGGCCAATTTTCTATTATCTCCAGTGATGCGGAGATTGGACCCATTTTGTAGCAGATGTGTTGGAGCTTCATCTGACTTCAGTGAGACCAGATCTCACTATACCAAGTTACTGAAACCTTTTCATTCCTTAACCTAAGTTCAATTTTAGCTTTATTTATTTTTTCAGAGTTTCCTCCATGGCAAGACATGTTTTCATCACCAGGCTAACACAGAAAGGCTGAGGTTTAGTGTTTCTGATATGCCCAAGCTAACCACGTACAGCTTGATTATTACGTTTCCCAACTGATTCCTGGTGAACTACTGGCATCCCTAGCACAAACCAAGCACTGCTTGGACGTGGCTTCTGGTGGTCTGTGTGTTTGATTTGTGATGAAAACTGCAGCTTGTATACCTGAAGAAAAAGTATTTCCAGAAATACATTATCTATTCCGTGTGTTTCACATTTGTTATATGACAGTGCAACCTAAGAGTCCTCCAAGGACGATTGTCCAGGCCAAGCCAGGAGCATAACATTGCCTTGGAGTTATCTGTGACATAAGGAGCATGGAGGTTGTTGCTATCTCCGCAACCTTGCTGCACTGGTGGTAGGATTCCAGAATAGCAGCGTTATATTTGCTTATATAAGAAAGAGGAATGAGCTGAGGAGGGAAGTTCTGGTATTAAGATGCTGCTATTGAATCCTTCAGGTTGCCAGGACTGAAATAATTTTGCAGAAATGCCTTTGTAGTTGCATTTTTAAGGGAAGGGAGGAGGGAGGATCAGGTGAAACCATAACAAGATTTAAACCAGTCATGTCACAAATGAAAAATGAGGAGCTTTTCAGAATGGCAATGGTTGGGTTTATTGCTATCACTTTCATTTGGGTGAAGGCAATTGTGAGGATCTGATGAAAGATGTGTTATTTTTAAAGCACTCTGTGGAGAGGGAAGAATAGCAAATACCTCAGCAGCAGCCAAAGGCAGGGAAGGAAAGGTTAATTTGAGGAGTCTGTATTCCCATATATCTAGTTCAAATCTAATAACTATTTATTTCTTTTTAGCAGACAAATGTGTTAGTTCTTGCCCAGGGGATGAAACTGATGATCTTAGCATCAAAACTAAGAGAAATAAGTAAGTTCTAAAGTTTACTTATCTATATGTAATGTTGGGAAGCTAATATCTGGTACAAATAAATGTAAAGAGAAACACAGTTCTACTCTTATGTGTGGATAACTACTTATGAAAGTCACTCTTAAGGTAGCCAGTCTTCATCAAACCCCATGATTCTCTATAATCTCTGTTTCCCATGAAATCCATCGATTTTTGTCTAACTCATGCTTATTTTGAAATGGTTAAAAAAAAGATTATAAAGATACATGTCGTTATTTCGAAGACATTGAATAAAAGCTTTATCTTCATTGAAGTGAAACCGATGATTGTTTTCCACTGGTGTCAGTGTTTCCAGGCTGCCGGCTCAGAAATATCCGGAGGTATTTCTGTTATTGTGCTTTCATTTGACCTTTATTTCCATGTGTGTTTCAAATTCTGATGAAGTAACAGGCAAAAACCCCATGTGCCAAATAAGCAACTGCCTCACGCTTTGCCAGAACAGCAAGAAAAGGAAAGAAACAGTTCGTGTTTTAAGGAGTACCTTCGAGGCATTTCATGCTAGTTAACCAAGCTGCAGCTGGCGTTGGCTGCTATGGTTAAGATACTGCTTTGGACCATTAAAAAATAAACCTGTAAAATAACTCTGCATAAATAGTGTGTTATATTTTGAGGGCATTGTGAGGAGTGAGCACAACAAATGTCTTGTGTTTTCCAAGTGACTATATTGAAGATAATTCAATTCTTTGTTATTGCTGTTCTTATCTTGATACGTTGGGAGGTTCCTCTGACCTCATGAAGACTTTCTGTGGTTTTGTGTTGTTATGAGGGAAGAATCAGATACTCCCAGGTGGAATGCTCAGGCTATTTAAGCATTTTATGCTTGGTATAAGAGAGTCTATTTATACTGTATATATACTAAATATGTACTTTTCCTATTTACATAGTATTTAGTGTTCATATACAGTCTAGAAGTTTATACTTAGTATAAAATACTTAAGAATGCATCTTCTGATGTCAGTGGGTGTGATAGTATTGGGCCAGCATTATGACCTGTGTATAGAGGTGGATATTTTACATGTGCTATTACGGGGATTCCCTTTTAGTGACTGGCTGAGAAAATGTGGAAACACCTTTCCATTAATGTACCTAAGTAGAATTCTAAAACTTGAGAAACTTGTTCATAGAACTCCACAAAAATGCAGGTTATTGTATCAAGGGTGCCTTTTTCACTGTCCATTTGTGGGTAAGGAATGTTATCTCATCTTCAGTGGGTTTCCATGACTTACTTACTCAGAAGACTAACTTTGGGTTGTTCGGTCTCTTATTTTCTTTACACTCAACGGAACATTGTCAAAATTAAGAGCCCCAAATATGGACCATCTTTGTAGATATTTGCAGAATTTATCTTGTATTTACTTGCAGAAATACATGTCCATATACATATCTTTTCCCCAAAGCAAATAGGTAAATGCAGCTCAAGCTGGGCAGTCTCAGCCCACTGCAGAGATGCTGCATGACTCTCCCACTTAATGCACTGTAGCATCATTCCTGTGGTATGTATTTATAGATACATAGATACATATATATACATATATAAGCATAAATCATACAGCAATCAAGCTAAAAGCACAATCACATCAGAAATGCAGCAGGATGGTGGCCAGCACCTTGGATTGCCAGCAATGTTTTCTGGGTACAGGCAGCAGAACAGCACTGCAAAGCAACCCTCAGTTGTGACTTTATGCCAACACAAGTTGAATAGCATGTGATAATGAATTTATATCACCTGCTGTTTATGCTATCTTTTGTCTTTATATTATGTTATATTTATGTATGGCATAACAAATAATACAACCTTTATTGTACTTGAGATTTGTGGCAAGATACTCATTGAGAGGATATTTAAAGCTCTGAGAACCTTACCTTCATAGAATCACAGAATCCTTGGAAGGGACCTTAAAGCTCACCCAGTTCCAACCCGCTGCCATGGGCAGTGACACCTTCCACTAGAGCAGGTTAATACAAAGAGTAAAGCAATCTTCAGAGAAACTTGGGTCTTCTGGGGTTGCTTCACAGTGACAGCAGGTCTGGGGATGTCTCTGTCTCCCTGCTCCCAGCAGCTCCAGGGGGGGGTTGAGCGGCTTTAAGGCTGGAGCCCCACAGCCTCCCTGGGCAGCCTGCCCCAGAGCCCACTGGCCTTACAGTAAAAAAGCTTTTTCTTGTGCTTAGATGGATTTCCCTCTTTGTGCCCATTGCCTCTTCTTTTGTCAGTGGGTTCCGCAGTTGCATAAGAACATCTCACTGCCCTATCCGTGTTAAGTTTTCCAGGCTTCCAAGATTGTGCTAGTAGGCTGCCCATGTGTGTCCATCTGAGAGGGAAATCACACAGGTTTTTGTGCAGATTATTGTATTATTTCCTAAAGAAAATTCTTTATTGTGTTCTATTCCCTATTGGATTGTATTCATTATTGTTGTTTTTGCCACGAGAAAAGAAGTCAGTGTGATTTGCAGCATAGTTTTCAATTGCGTAAGGAGGACTGAAGGAAAGAAGGCCTCTTCTGGTGCTTGGCTGGTGGAGCAGGGTGCTGTATTTCTCCCAGTTTGGGCTTGAAAAAGCACTTTGTGTCTACTAGAGATTGGATTGGGCCTTTCATGGATCATGTCACAGACTAAAATTTGCTGTCACAGTGTAAAAGATACTGTCAATCTGTGAAGAAAACCAATTTGGTATCTCTCAAATCACTAGTAATACAGCATCATTTTAGGATAAATGTGAGTGTAATGTCATTATTTGCAGAAGGAAGATAACCCACCACTTTCCAGACTAATTAATTCATTTGCTTGGAAACAAAATAATGTTTTCCTGTTGAAATTTCAAACTAGGTATTATTCTGCAGTGGTGAAAATTGCTTCAGTGGAAAACGCAGTCATGCCAGTAGGAGGCAAATATGAAATCATCGCACTTCCATTATCCTCACTTGAACCTCGTGAAGACTCCAGATCTTTCCAGAAAAAGTCTTAATTTGTATGGAATTCATTCATAGAATCCTAGCCTGGTTTGTGTTGAAGGGACCTTAAAGCTCCTCCAGCTCCAACCCCTGCCACGGGCAGGGACACCTTCCACTAGAGCAGGTTGCTCCGAGCCCCTGTGTCCAACCTGCCCTTGAACACTGCCAGGGATGGGGCACAGCAATGCTATGTACGTGCCTTTATCCAGGGGGTTCTGGCAGGCAGAGGGACTCCGGCAATACATAGTATTTTATCAGAAACACCTATTTATCCTAATCGGATGCAATCCTGGAAATGGGCTGCCAGGATAAACACAGACAAAGGGCAGATTCTTCACTGATACTTTATTGGCAGGTTTGTGCATTGCTGGATTTCTTCCATTAGGAGCGAGCTTGTGGGGTGCATGGGAACATAAAATAAAGATTAGTGTTGACTTTCAAGGTTTGGGGCACAAAAACAGAGCAAGGAAAAATAAACCAAGAAGAGTCTCTTGGGTCACTGCTTTCAAGTCTCCGCTCCTTGACAAATTTCATACGAAGTTGTACTGTTTCTGTAGCTTGAAATAGATCCTAGCATTGTGGTGCTGGGTTCCTCTGTGGTCACACCAGTGGAGCATCCTTCCACATAACGAGCTGTCAGAGGTCCCTTGGCAGGGCCCGTGAGCCCCATGATCCAATAACAAAGCGCAGGGCTGGGTAACTTCTCAGCTGTCAACCTCTGCTTGTGAGCAACCTCCTGGAGGGTTTTCTTGGGAGGGCTGAAAGTCCCCTCCCCAGCTGGCAATTACTGAACTATTGTCTATCTTACCTTGTTAAAGAACAGAAAATTCCCAAGCTGCTGACCAGGGAAAGGCTGAAACGGAGGAGAAAAATGAGGAGACATCAGCACCTCAGGTCACACCTCCCCTAGAAGAGCGCATCACTCATTTCCGAGACATGCTTCTGGAGAGAGGGGTAAGAAACATGCTTGCTTTCTCTGACATATGCCATTTATTAAGATAAAGCAGCATCTAGGACCACTACAGGAATCATTTCATAGCTATGGCTTAGCAGTCAAATGAAGAATCATTGAGGGTTTTTCTGTCTGTTAACCATGCTGGGTTTGTGATACTCTACTGTGGCTGGTCTTCCAATGCCATCCAGTCGAATGTGGTCATGTGGAACTGGAAGCCATTTGCAGGTACAGTTCCAGGTAAATTGCTGTAGACAGACCCAAAGATAACCAGAGGTGGCAGCTCTTCCCATACAGACCAGTGGCTCAGCAGGGCATGGGGACCACAGTCACACACCAGCCCCGGGGTCCCACATGAGCCGCAGAAGCTATGAACGAGGAACAAGAGATACATCATGTACATCACTTGAAAGACAGCACCAGGCTCAGGAATGGTGCTATCAAGCTCTTTGCTTTGTTTAAAATGGGGGAGGTTTCGTCACCACAAACTCTTATGATCCCAAATTCTCTTACTGGCCATCCAGAACCATAGAATCCCAAACTGATTTGTGTTGGAAGAGACCTTAGAGCTCCTCCAGCTCCAACCTCTGCCATGGGCAGGGACACCTTCCACTAGAGCAGGTTGCTCCAAGCCCCTGTGTCCAACCTGCCCTTGAACAGTCCCAGAGAAGTGATCATTTTGTGCCTGAAGGAATAGTAAGCACAGCAGGTTTAGGTCCTAATCCTGACACTGTAAATGGGTGTGTAGTGGAGCAGTGTGTGCAGGCTTTTTACCTCCCTCCAACTCTCTGCAAATACGTATTCTAGAGAAGTTCATGTAATTTCTACAGAGAATAAATATCCAAGGTGTCTGTTGTTAGGCAGCAAAGCCTGTGATATTTATCACTAGTAATCAGCAGGCTTTAAAGGTAGATAATTAGAGCTCCAGAAGCTCAAGTGTAAATTATCTCCACGCCAGACCTGCTTTATTAACACATTTTGTTATTTATGCTTAAAAAATGCAGAAGTGCCATAAACGAATACTGGTTAAAGACATCTGCTGGCATCGTTTAAGTCAGGGGGCAGTAAGTCAAAATCGAAAGCATTGGGGGTGTTCTATAATAGTATTCCTCAAGTGTTTCCAGTGTGAGTCAGACTTGCTTATAAAAACAAGAAAATGAGGAAATCTACTGCTTGGATTTGCTATTATTTAAGATGCAGAGTTAAAAGCTTACTTTGCTTTTGCCCTGTGCACTTTTTAAAGGTCCAGAGAAGCCACTGGTTAGCACCAGCTGCTTGAAATGACTTGACGTAAAGTGAGGCCATCAATCAGTGTTATTTTAAACTGGTTATTTAATGAGCATCTCCTGCCATTTTCTCATAATGTTGTTATTTCTCAAGAAGTTCCTTGGTGACATTACAAAGGCCTTGAACTGGGTGGGAAGATCTTCAGCGTGGTTCTGAATCCTGCATCAGTTATAGCAACAGAAGAGTATTTCTTGTGACAATTTATGAGATTGTTGGTGTAGCTCCAAGACAATGGCACTGTAAAGTCTGTCGCGAGTTTTCCTATGGAAAAAATGGAATCTCTGATACCCTCCTGGAATTTCATTCCATGATTTTATGATTCTGTGAATTATTACGTGATAAACTAGCCCAAGCTTAACTAGCTTTGAGCTCTAACTGGCATTTGTACTGGGAACGAAGCTGATGTCCAAGTGTGTAAAAGATACCCAAGGATTCCTGCTTGATCCTTCTGAAGGGGGGAAGTTCTTCAGTGTGGTTCTGAATCCATGAACCTTCCCAAGAGGAAACACCAAACCTCAGGACTCGGCCACCCGTGTGGGCATGGAGAGTGATCTATAAACCCACTTTGCTTCATCAGAGCTTTCCTGCTTGGGCATTAAATTTCCATGCTCTATTTTAATTATACTTCACATACTTAATTTTTTCAGTGAATTTATTCTTCTTTGTAATTAGATGAGTGATTAGAATATTTTATGTTACTCCAGAGTTTTCTGTAACAAACTAATTAACAGTGATGTTGTACAAGGCACAGAAACCAGGCTGGGGATCTCAGTCCTACGCTCCCAGAGTCTTGTGTTGTAGAAGCCTTTGGCACAGGGCACTGAGCATGAGAGGGACCTGCTCGGTTCCACAGTGGTCCTTACAGCCCGTAGACCCTAAAGCGGTTTGGGAGAATGTGGGAGAGGCTCTGTAGGAGTGTGATATTCTTGTTCCATGTGTCTGCAAGAATGTGAGCCATGCTGGGGGCTCGGGTGGACTCCCTGGGTCCTGCTCTGGAGAGCTGGGTTTCTTGGGAGAGGGGAAAAGCCTCAAACTGGAGATGCGACAGCCGTGCTGCTGGAGGGAAGCGGCACATTTCCCATAAAAACTGGTGTTTGAAGCATAGAATCACAGAATCCTGGGATGGATGGAGTGGGAAGGGACCGTAAATCTCATCCAGCTCCAAACCCTGCCCCGGGCAGGGACACCTTCCACTAGAGCAGGTTGCTCCAAGCCCCTGTGTCCAGCCTGGCCTTGAACACTGCCAGGGATGGGGCAGCCACAGCTTCTCTGGGCACCCTGTGCCAGCGCCTCAGCACCCTCACAGGGAAGAGCTTCTGCCTCAGAGCTCATCTCAATCTCCCCTTTTCTAGTATCTTGAAGGTGCTCGCACCTAGTTGCTCAGTGTGTGCATGCACTGACAGCTCATTTGGGTTATAATTTCAGTTGTGGAGAGGAGGGGAGTTAAAGCTGAGATAATTGCTTAACTGGAAATTGATGCTTCTGTTGTACGAAGGGGATAATAAAATGGCATTTTCCTTTCTGCTATGGATTCTTTCCATCAAAAATGTGGAATGACCCGCTCCCAGCTACTCCCTGAGATGTCCTAGAGCGAATCAATAGTAATGGTGTGGGGGTGACCACAGCATTGCCAGAAACTGATTAAAATTCAACTTCCAACTTCTCTGAAGCATCCTTTAGGGGTTTCATTAGCTTTCTGAACTACTCTTTTGCTTCACCTTGGAACATTTTCTTCTTTCACATCCTTATTAAAATTCCTTAATGCAACTGTGTTTGTGTATTTCACAGGTTTCAGCTTTTTCTACGTGGGAAAAAGAGTTGCACAAAATCGTGTTTGATCCGCGCTACCTTCTGCTAAATTCAGAGGAACGTAAGCAGGTGAGTGTTGCCTCCAGCATAGCTCCTGATTGGCGACAAATGTCTCCCAAATGAAGTGTAATAAAAGAGGAATTATCTTGGCAGGATAAAGGGAATTGCATAAAATTAAAATGTCTTTTTGAGTTCTTCAGTGAGACTCATAACTCAGTCTTCGCTCATAGGAAAGTGCTGTCTCCTTAGGAAAGCAAGTAGTGATGAGTGAGTTTGCACATGGAGATGAGCCACAGGCTCTTGGGTTGTAGGAACAACAACTACTGAGGCTGGGAAACTGGGTTGTAGAAAGGGAAGTGGCCATAAAGCAATGTTTCCACTCTGAATTATTTAAATACTGTAGAGAGACTACTTCATTTTTATTACTTAGAATATTTTCTGGGAGTTTGCTGTTATTTACTGCTGTATCTTGCAATAACTAAGCTTGCTAGAGAGAAATGGAGAACACTGAGGCTCTGTCAGTGTCTGAGAGGGTTTAGCTTTCCTGGCAGGCTGCAAAGGGAAGTGGGCTCCTTGCTGCCTTGGTTATTTGGGCATTAATCATCACTGGGGATCTAAAAGGACCCGAGGGCTGCAGATTAGTCTAAAAAATTTAGGGGAGATGCAAGGCTGTTGCAGAGAAGGTGAATACTTCTATTCCATGGGTATTTCTCTTCCCTACAGTCTTTTGTTATCCTGGAGAGGGAAGAACTTTGAATATGGAATTGTCCTTTTTTTAAATCAACACAATGACAAATGTTCTTATTCCTATTCCATTGCACTGGGGGCTGTGTTGTCTCATGATTCACCAGAGAGCTTCCTGTGGGGATTTACTGAGGGACTGGGCATGTTACATCTACATTTATTCCTTTTCCAGTATTTTCTTTCCTAAGAAAAAAAAAGTGAATTAAAATAGTAAGGAAATAAGGGAATGAAAATGTAAGAGAAACTGCTAGAATGGAAAATGCTGCTAGGCAAGAGAACAAGCAGGGAGTTTTGTACTGATTTCAGGGAATCAGCAAGGACAAAACCTAAACCATGCTGAGTCAGTCCAGATTTTTGACTTCTTTCTTTTTATCAGCTTTGGAGATGGTATCATAAAAATACATCATGAATACACATAATGTGCTTGAAGCACTGCTGAGGGGGACCTCCTCCGTGGGGTGGGCTTCATACTCAAGTGAAGGGCTATGGAAGGGAAGTCACTGTCAATCCTGGAGGTAGAAACTTGCCATCAGCTAAAGGTTGGCTCAGAGCTAAGGTGGAAGAGAGTGATCGTTGGTTGCTCTTCTGCCAAATAGGGCTAAAAAGACAGTGTGTGGGAGCACGTGCCAGCTGTGTAATATATTGTCGGTGCTAAGCTCCAAGTAAGATTTCCAGATGTTCATTATGAGTAATGCTGTTTAATTAGACCCCATTTTCCTCCAAAAAGTAGTTTAAGGATAAAGACTCTGGCAGAGTAGATGCCTGATTTAATGAAAGTACTTCTTGAAGCGCAACTCCAATTAGTAGAAGACATTATTTAGGTTTATGGAAACATTTACCTTCACGGCTGCTGGTGTGTGGCCTGAAGAGCGAGTGCCTGAGAACTCTCTAAATTATGCAGATTAATTGATATTGGAGAGTGTTGGAGGTGAAAAGTGGCTCACAATGGAAGTGAGGAAGGAAGGAATGAAGAAGGGAAGAGAAAGGAAAGGGAGGGAAGGGAAGGGAGGAAAGAAGGGAGGGAAAGAACAAGGGAAAGGGAAGGAAAGGGACAGAAGGGAGGGAACAAGGGAAAGGAAAGGAAAGGAAAGGAAAGGAAAGGAAAGGAAAGGAAAGGGGAAAGGAAAGGGGAAAAGCAAGAAAAGGGGAAAGGAAAGAGGAAAGGAGGAAAAAAAAGGAAAGGGAAAAAGAAAGAAGAAAGGCATGGGAAAATGAAAGGAAAGGAGAAGGGAAAGGAAAGGGGAAAGGAGAATGAGCATAGCTGGCTGTACTGTAGTTTCCTTCTCTCCATGGTCAGGTAGGAAGGGGCAGGAAAAGTGTTTTGTCTGTGATCTGCAAATGTCCTCTTGACTTGAACTTGTGTTGAGGTGGGTTTGACATCCAGGAGTGGAAGCTCTGCTCTCGGTCGGGGTCCTCACACAGCCTGGGGGATGTAATGATCCTTTATTGAACATCTGTGCACTCACCAGTGGTTTCCAAGGGGTTATTAGCAGTTGAAAGATGCTCCTATATATAAGCAAGGAACAGTGAAGGGTAAAGGAGCAAATGTATTAAAATAATGAGCTGTCTGCTAATTTTGATTTATTACCTTTATGATAACTTCACTGATGGCAGAAAGGCCAAGCAATAGTGTCACCTACTCTGTTTGTTCTATTTTTGCATCTCCCTTTACACTCAACTTACACAATTGCATTCAGTATCATGAATTTAGATTTCCTGGTGTTTTCATAGTACTTATTTCATGTATTTACTTTTCCAGTGCTATTTCTTCCCTTTTCCACGTACCATGCTAAATACCAGTTGTAAGTTGGCTACTTTAGCTTTCATGACATGTAGATTCACACCTGTACATCCTCATGGCTGATGAGGAAGCAACTGTGGTAGTATCTGTAGTAATCACGTTTAATGTATGTGATTTGTGGTGAGAAGGATGGTGAATATGGAAAGCTAATAGCACTTTGAGGCTTTTATTCAACAACTTAGTGTGCCACTTCTCAGAGCGTGAAACCAGCAGGGCCCGATTTTTGGTATTAAAAATGTGATTAAAGCAGTTGGCAGAACTTTGTGCCATAGTGAACTCCTTAGTTCCTTTTCAAGACACCAAAACTCCCAGCACTGAGGCCCTGCTGCATTTTTAGCTGCCAAATACTGATAGAGGAAGGTCATCGACCACTGCAATCACGTTAAAGCTTTCAGGTGTATGTGTACAGAGAATCGTGTAAGCTCATGGGGTTTGATAACTGATCTGAAAGGTCTTCACACTATTTGGGGGTAAACTACAGAACATTGATGTTTAAACTTACAGACATCTTCAGGAATTCCAGCAAGTTGGGAAAGATGCACGATCCAAAGTAAACAGTGGCAGTCAGCGGTGCAGATGCACAAAAATAGAGCTATGAGCATGAAAATGCGAGCAAGGCACTGGAGTCAGGAGCTGTGATTTATGTTGCTCTCCATGTTTGGAGGAAGATGCTATCTGTCCACATTGTACCTTTTTTTATCTACTTGTTTTGTGAGAACACGAAGTTGGTGCTGCATGAAGTGGGTTCAGCTGCACGTTGAGTCTATGAGGGCAGATAAGAACTGCAGGTCTGGAGATTGACAGCCCTTTGATGAAGTCTAAATACCAAAAGGCTTTGTTAATAAACACTGTATCTTGTTTCCCTTTCTTGGAAAGATATTTGAACAGTTTGTCAAGACCAGGATCAGAGAAGAGTACAAAGAGAAGAAAAACAAGTTATTGTTAGCCAAAGAAGAGTTTAAAAAGCTCCTTGAAGAATCCAAGGTATCACCAAGGTATGGCATTGCCTTATGAAGAGTTGTTGAGATAAGTTTTCTCATTTAGCCTGTGCTTATCAGCCTCAGAAAGCCATAACACTGAGCAGACTCTTCATATCCAGCTTGTACATACATGGCTTGACATTTCTTCCCTACTATTTTACAATATTTTGTTATATTATTGGGAGAGGGAACATTCCATCCTTCTCTATTCCTTTTTCTCTCTCTTATTCACAGTATGCAGTATTTTGCATAACACTTTTATTTTATCTGGATATATATATGTTATAATTATAGAACACACACATATCTATTAGTTATATAAAATCAATATGTATTAAACCTCATTTACATTAGGCATACAGGTGTAACTAGTGAAAACCCATTTAGGTTTGCCTTTTGATGGAGGACAAATATAATTCAGCCAAGTTAATATTAATGGCACATCACTAAATTAAAATAAAGCGTGCAGTGAAATAATCTATTTTTCTACATTGCTTTTTAAGTAATGGACCCCAGACTGCACCATTGAGAATGCAGAGCTGAGGATGCTGCTTTCTCATTTGTAAATGATATGGAAATAAAGGTTTATATATTAGAAATCCAATTAAATTGTTGGAACTGAGAAATTAGTTTTCTCTGCTCAAATATGTGGGTAATTGTACAGCACTACCTGCCCAGACACGTGGATGCAAACAACACATCAGGCTGTGTGGGAGTCATAACAGGCTTTTTACAACAAAACTGAGAATATTCTGGGCTAATGTAGCAACTAAACACTGGTACCAGCAATGTGCTGGCCTCAAGGACAGAGAACATTTTGCTTGTGAATGTTTCTGTTGAGCTGACTGCAAGACCACAGCAGCAAAGAAACTCATGTGCCAGCAGCAGTGTCTGGCTTGATTTTGATATGCAGAGATAAATAAATCAAAAATATTCCCAATAAGAAGAAAACAGGCCTTTTCCCAAGTGACTCTTACAAATCTGCACAGTATTTAGAGCTCTGATTCAGCCAAGAATAAGAATTGCACAGTTCATGTGACAGAGCACAGTGACTGAGCAAGGTCATTGATAGGAAAAGCAGGCAGCAGCACGGGGCAGAGGTGTCCCATCACAGCATCCCTGGCACTGGCTCTGGGACCAGCCAGAGCACCAGGCAGTTGGGCTTGGCATTGCCAAGAGAAAACCCATCAGCCTGGAGCATCTCCAGTGTCCCTGTGCTATTCCCTGCTTTGACAGGGATCATAGAACCATAGACTCACAGACTGGTTTGTGTTGGAAGGGACCTCAAAGCTCCTCCAGCTCCAAGCCCTGCCACGGGCAGGGACACCTTCCACTAGAGCAGGTTGCTCCAAGCCCCTGTGTCCAGCCTGGCCTTGAACACTGCCAGGGATGGGGCAGCCACAGCTTCTCTGGGCACCCTGTGCCAGCGCCTCAGCACCCTCACAGGGAAGAGCTTCTGCCTCAGAGCTCATCTCAATCTTCCCTCTGGCAGGTTCAAGCCATTCCCCTTGTCCTATATATGTAAGTATATAAAAATATATGAAGTCCAGACATTTAAATAAAAACCCTTGTTGGTGGTCTGTAAATTATGATGCCAGTTCATTATAGTGCTCACCATGCTGCTCTCAGACCGGGACCTATGGACCTGTACTGGGATTAGCAGAAGCATCCGAGCAAGACACCAGTGAATGTTTCTGTTCTCAGATACCATGTTTGCAGTGGAAAATGCTGGACCTGATGACAAAGTCCTCGTGCAAAGCTCCCTGTGGGTTTTAATTACATTGTGCCCATCACTTGGAGCTACAATTAATTTTTTGCTATTTTTAGGTAAGATGAAACTAGTGGGTGTTTCATCAGGTGTGGTGCAGTCAAAGTGCATTTGTTTGCAATTAGCCACAGTCCTGGTTTTCTGCTCTGTTATAAGCTAATTGTTGAAATACTGGCCAGAAGTACAGGCAGGCATAGATTAAAGCTGCAGTAACCTGGCGTGCAGCAAATACTGTGTTAATGATTCAAAAATGTCCTGTCAACTATCACCTGGATTTTTTTAGATCAGAAAGTGAACTTAACTTGCAGGCTGATCCGTGAGCCCAAAGCCTGGGCTGGTCTGGCATTGTCCTGCCTCCTTCGTCCCAGGTTTACCATTATGTTTCTGTCAAATATCAGAGTATCCAGAAGGAGTGTTAATTTGTATGGAATTTATTCGTAGACTCACAGAATGCTTTTGGTTGAAGGGCCCTTAAAGCTCCTCCAGCTCCAGCCCCTGCCATGGGCAGGGACGCCTTCCACTAGAGCAGGTTGCTCCAAGCCCCTGTGTCCAACCTGGCCTTGAACACTGCCAGGGATGGGGCAGCCACAGCTTCTCTGGGCACCCTATGCCAGCGCCTCAGCACCCTCACAGGGAAGAGCTTCTGCCTAAGATCCAGTCTAAACTCTTCCTCCTAAATTAAACTTTTTAAAGCTTCTCTAACTTTTGCGGCTCTTAAAACAGCTATTTTTAAAGCTTATATTTGTTAATAATACATCGGGCAAATTGAGTAAGGGCAGGTCGCCCAGAACATCGTTGAGTTTAGTGTCTGTATGAAAAGTTAAGTGAGATCCAGGTCGAAGAGTCTGAGAGTGGATTGGCCATGTCACAGCTTTAAAATGTGTTTCTGTTCTACAGAACAACCTTCAAAGAATTTGCAGAGAAATATGGAAGAGACCAGCGGTTCCGGCTCGTGCAGAAGAAGAAGGACCAGGAGCACTTTTTCAATCAGTTCATCCTTATTCTTAAAAAGAGGGACAAAGAAAACAGGATAAGGCTACGGAAAATGAGATAAAATCTCCTGAAAATGGCAATAAAGACACAGGTCCAGGCTGGGACTGCAGTAAGGAACTCACATGAAGGCAAAAGCATTCAGGGTTAAACTTGGGACTGCTTGATGAAGAAGAGGGGATCCCTGAGGAAAACTTCCTCCAAGCAGAGTTTGTTGAACATATATTGAATTTGGGAAGGCTTTTCTGCAGGAATCTGAAGGATATTTTGTTCTCAAAGAATTAATGTTTCATATTGAAGCTCTCTTTTGTACAACATCCAGAGTTTGATGCATTTCTAATTGCCATGATATGTCAATCCCTTAATTGTTTTAATTATGCAAATTACTTGTAATATACACAAATTATGAATCCAATGCAGATTTATAATTAAGCAGAAGCAGATGCCATCCATAAGTATCTCAAGATATTTCCATCATTTAGGGGAATTATCTAAAGCAATCTTTTGGCAACTTTACGCATTACCCTAAATATTTGGAGGCACAGTGGTATGCAGGAATCCATTACCCGGTGTTCATACGTCTCTGTCCAGTTCTCTGAGTAGTATTAATAAGATATTAATTGTTAATCTTAGTGAAGAGTGTGGAAATCTTGGCATATGTTCCATAGGAAGACTCTAAGTTTCAGAACTAGCTTTCAACTTAGCGTGGATGGTGCTTTTGGGCACACGGGTGGTAGCAACGCTTCACTGTCAGCGGTCCGAAAAGGAGTTAATTTGTAAAACCATCACAGTATGAGTTATGTTGCTGTATGTGAAAAGTCTGCATGAGATTTTTCTCATCATATTTGTATACATAAATATTTAACTTTTTTAATTAATAAATATTTTAAGCCAATTTTCAGGGAGATTTAAGTTTCTGAACTGTTGCAAATGTTGGGTGAAGTAACGCAGGTCTGATGGGCTTTACTCCAGGGAGAGTTCCCACCATTTGTGATTTGTGTGCCAATTCCATTACTATCAATCGGACTTTGGAGCATCTTGAGAGCAGATAGTTGTTCTGGCTGTGAAGGTGGGACACCATGGCTAGAGTAAATCAGCACAGCAGGAAATCCCTTCCTTTATGCTATATGAAAGACACACTCTCTTCTGTCTGTGGTCATTATAATGTTCTCAGTTGACCTGGTTTTTAAGTTATTACTCAATAGATTTGTAGATTTCTGTTTTCTAAGTTGTTATTTTCTCCAGCTGATGGCAATTTTTCTTTAGCTGTGCAGATACTTTTTATAATCAAGGAAATAAAGGGTGTTTTCTAATGCTTTGGGAAAATGAACTCAGAATAATTCAAAGAAGAGTATTTAATGTAAGATATGTATAATCATAGAATGGTTTGGGTTGGAAAGGTCCTGCAGTGAGCAGGGACATCTTCATCTAGATCAGGTTGCCCAGAACCACATCCAGCATGTCCTTGAATGTCTCCAGGGATGCCACATGTAGAATCATGGTTAGGGTTGGAAGGAACCTTAAAGGTCCTCCAGCTCCAACCCCTGCCCCGGGCAGGGACACCTTCCACTAGAGCACGTTGCTCCAAGCCCCTGTGTCCAACCTGGCCTTGAACACTGCCAGGGATGGGGCAGCCACAGCTTCTCTGGGCACCCTGTGCCAGCGCCTCAGCACCCTCACAGGGAAGAGCTTCTTCCTTATCTCTAACCTCAACTTCCCCTGTTTCAGTTTGAACCCATCACCCCTTGTTCTATCGCTTCAGCATATACCACCCCCCTGGGCAACCTGTTGCAGTATGAAGTATGTAGAGTTCCAAACTTCTACATGAAGAAAGAAATCATTTATTTCTGTGACAGCAAGATCTGACTGAAGCTGCTGGTGGTGTCAGTGAGGAAACCTGTTGCTGTGTTGGCATTGTCAGGTTTAACAGATGCTCCCCATTTTTCTCACCTCCACAAGTGAGGGTGATGCTTCGGGACCAAGCAAGCTGGAGTGAAGCTGGTAGATGCCATTTGGTTTTAATGGCTTGCAAGACGTGTGATGACCATTCAGCTTTATTCCACAGTTATGTTTACATCCCTGGAGGAGCCTGGTTGGCTCCCACCCCTGCGTGACTCGGGAGTCCTGTGGGAATGATGCAGAGACAAATGCTGTTCACTTGAAGTGTGGTAGGACCAGGCAGCAGTGACCCGGGAAAAAGATGTAGGTCTTTCAATAGGCAGAGGACAGACTTCTCAGGGGCTTTCAGAAGGTTTTGAAGATCTTCTTTTTGAAGAAAAAGTAAGCTGCAGAAAACCAATGAGATGTGGCTTTTATGACTCAAGTATTTCTGTTTCAGTGGCTTGTAGCCCTTGTGTTGTTTTCTGGTTTAAATGTATGTGTGTATCTGGACCTTCTACTGCCTCTCCCTATTTTGAGTATGAATAAAATGGGATATTAATATTTTGAGGATTCTCCTTGATTTTAGCATTTCCTGACATCAGAAATCCTCTTCATGATGTAAATATGATAGTGAATGAATAATGCTTCATCCCTGGCAGTGTTCAAGGCCAGGTTGGACACAGGGGCTTGGAGCAACCAGCTCTAGTGGAAGGTGTCCCTGCCCGTGGCAGGGGTTGGAGCTGGGTGAGCTTTAAGGCCCCTTCCAACCCAAGCCAGTCTGCGTTTCTTTGACTGCTTTTCGTTATCAGAAGTCTCCTCAGATGATGGCAAAGCAGATGGCCACAAATGTGTCACCATTACACATTAATGGCATATATTAAATGCCAAGACCTTAGAGCTGTGTGAGTCCAGGGGCGATCACCTGTGGAGTCGTACCTAATACCTGCCTGTGTGTTGGGTGCAGCGTTGGAGGCAGCATCAATCCTCACAACTCACATGCAAAGCACACGCAGATCTTGGAGCTTCGTCAGTGGTCTCTGAAGCGCAGTAGGCTCCATGGAATGCTCAGAGTTGGTGATTTTGCTCGGGAAATATGATTTTTCCTGAATTAGTTATTTCCTTTCTGCAATATATCTGACTTCTCACGTGCTGGTGCACACTTCAAAATGTCAGAGTCAAGATAAAGCAGGGACAAACGGGGCTGCCTACCCTTGGTCATTGGAAAGACCATATTGACAATCGTTTTGGATGGAGCTTAGCTGTGTGCGGTGATGTGGTGGCAGCCCCAGCAGTAGAGGACACCAAGAAGAAAAGGAGATGCTCATGTAAGAGAAGACTTAAAAAAAACCTAAACCCATCAGCCTTTGTTTGGCTGGTGCAGTTAGGTCTGGGAAGGGAGGTCATTGCCTGCATGATCACATTAGGAAAGGGTAGCAGAGAGAGAGCTGATTTTTACCAAATCTGAACAAGTCCACAAGAATAAATCAGAGGACACTGGTTTTCATGAGTTAGTTAACTTTCAGAACTCTCTTGTAACCTTTTAAAATGAGGGCACTCTCCCTTGTATGTGGGTAACCAAGAGGAAAATCTAATTAATCCTGACTCGAGCAACCCATTGGAGTTTTTTCTGGCATGGTTTGAAGAGCAGCACCCGGGTGGATTGTGATTAGATTGTTCAAATTAATGTTACAAATTTTGTTCATCTTCAGCGTTCCAGGAATCCAATATTTCCTAATAACTAATAACATTAAAACAAGTGCGATCCATCTTTTAAGTCCTGGGCTCACCAGGATCACTGGACATGGGTGGGTTGATGAGGGGGATTCGCTTATCCCAGGTCACTGCCCTGATGCAGGACTGCTGGGGGCACGGTCCTTCCCATCTTCCTCCAATGCAGATTTTCTAACGCTGGTCTATTGATAACAGCCTGGTCACCTCCAAGTCCCTCTACCAAGGGTTCTCCAACTCACTCATAGGGGATTTTTGAGCCAAGAAATGAAATACCCAACCTTTCTCAGCTACACCCATCTGTTAAACTGGAGGTCAGCACCCAACCTGGAGGTCCCATGAAAGCTTATGCTTCCCTGCAGGCATTTCATAGAACCCCAGCCTGGTTTGCGTTGAAAGGGACCTTAAAGCTCATCCACTTCCACCGCCCTGCCCCGGGCAGGGACACCTTCCACCAGAGCAGGTTGCTCCAAGCCCCTGTGTCCAACCTGGCCTTGAACACTGCCAGGGATGGGGCAGCCACAGCTTCTCTGGGCACCCTGTGCCAGCACCTCAGCACCCTCACAGGGAAGAGCTTCTGCCTCAGAGCTCATCTCAATCTCCCCTCTGGCAGGTTCAAGCCATTGCCCTTGTCCTGTCCCTCCATCCCTTGTCCAAAGCCCCTCTCCAGGTTTCCTGGAGCCCCTTTAGGCCCTGGAGCTGCTCTAAGGTGTCCCCTTCAGGAGCCTTCTCTTCTCCAGCTGCCCCAGCCCAGCTCTCTCAGCCTGGCTCCAGAGCAGAGCTGCTCCATTTCTCAGCTTTTGGGCTCATGTGGGTCCAACCTGCCCTACCCTCATCACAGCCCCAGCTCAGAGTTGCCTGGGCAGGAGGTGACAACTTGGGGGTTCTGGTGTGGGGGTGCTGGGCCCATTTCTCCTGGGAAACAATGATAATCTGACTGTTGAAAGTAAAAATTGACCTTTTCGTACTTTCTGATTTCTGAAAATGAACAAAAGAAAAGGTCTTTGGGGGTTGTATTTGTGAGGTTTTCCTTTTTTTTATGTAAAGTTAGAAAACCAATATTCTATAATGAGTCTAAGTGATCCTAAAGGAGCCAATAAAAGTGTGTAACAACACTGAATTTGCTATTTTTACAGGGGAAATAAAATGGAAACAGAATCTTCAAGAAGATTTTTAATAACTATAGTCTTTGTTGTGAGAGGATTAAAACCTTTGCTGTGTTTTAAAGTACCAAGAAAATGCAGTGCTATCAGCAGTAGCGTCCAAGCCCAGCATAGCAGCAAGGGGCAGACCTGAAAATGAGTTTGGGAATACAGGGAGCAAGAATGAGTTAACACAACTTCAGAAAGAGACTGCTGCTGTTGGCGAAACCTTCAGCATATTTCTGAGGACCAGAAAAGCTTTTATCGAAATGAAAAGCTTTTGATCCTGTAGCATTTGTTCAACACCACTGGA